GTGACCCTCTTGTGATAACGGAATTCAAACACATGAACCGCTTTGATAAAAAATGAAACATATGACCCTATCTTAAAACGGACCCAACTGCAAGTATCTTTTTCATACTTTTCCCAAAAATAAAGGGATTTTGAAAAGTTAAAGTGTGGGTAAAAAGTTTGTACTACTCTTTTGTGTAACAAAAAAGTGAAGCTTAAAAATGTGAACACTAATTTGAGTAAGGTAAACACTCCTTAACATGATGACATATTTCTTTGATGGTAAAATTGGGTAAGGCTATAAGAAGACATATAGCAAAGATGTAAATACCTTGGTAAAATCTTGTTGGCATAGTCATTTTTCTACTAATGTTTTTTTATAATCGAGGTGTCGAGGCTTACGCTTCCATAATTATGGAGTCTATGAACTACCATCTAAAGTCTCTAAACAGGTAAATCCGGATATAATCACATTCAGCTTCCTCGGTCCTGGCTCCAAATTACGAATCCAACAAGACTTACATCACATGTCCTTCTAGGCTGCTCCTCCCACCACACGAACTCATATCATCCTCTCCCTTCTCAACCACTAAGCTACGCCGTGAAGGTAGAGATAACTATGGGGAGCAAGACCTCCCTAATCTCCCCTTGGAGGGAATTGAACCCAAGATCTCTCACAAAGGAGAGACTTGAGAGTGGATGCTCATCCATTTGGCTACACTCACCTCCCCACAAGTGCTCTTAAGAAATCACTGGTCTAATTAGTGAAGTTTTTGAAGTTAATAGATAGTACTAGTTTAGGTAGACTTTCAACACTTCATGACCTCATATGGAATTTTATCTCATTACATTAAAGCCTCATAGAACTAATTAGATCGACATCATAATTTATAACTTGAGGAAACACCACTTGGCTCAATTAGAATTTAGGACGGCCGTCGATCCTAGTTCGATCGATCGACCGTGAGCCAGATTATGGGTTCTCCATCATCAGGTTTTCTTCTTCTTTGTGCTCGGATTGTTTGGCTTCTAGTCTTGTTTGGATTACGGGTGAGTTGCCTCGTCACTTGGTCTGGCGTTTCCTTGGCTGAGAATTTGGGTTTGGGTTTTGTTTTGTTCTCTAGTACTGCTTCTGTTGCTGACCACACAAATTCATAGGTGATTGCAATATACGTCAATTGAATTTCTTTATTTGGGTCTTTGGCATACATAGCTTTTTGTGTTTGTGGATTTGGGATTGAGTTGCTATGGATTTGATTACAAAGAATGTTAGCATGATATCAATTGCTGCGGAGGAGAATAGGGGTTTGGTGCTTGCAGCTGATCCGGTAGAAAGTGATGACATGACCAAAGAGGGTTCGGATTTAGCGGCTGTGGCTATAGTGGTATCGGATAAACCCATTCGGGTTGTTTCTTTCTGTCAAACTATGGCTATGGTTTGGCGACCTATCAAGGAAGTTTCAATTGATGAGATTGGGGAGTCTAGATTCCTCTTACAATTTTATCATGAAGGAGATCTGAGTAAAGTTGTTAATGAAGGGCCTTAGTCTTTAGAACAAAATCTTGTGGTCATCAAATGTGTGGGACGTACTGATAGACCTCTTGAGATTCCTCTAGATCATGCGGACTTTTGGGTTCAAGTCCACAATTTGTCGTTAAGCTACATGACGGCAAGGGCAACACGCAGAATAGCTAACAACTTAGGATCGCTTGTGCAAGTGGACGAGAGCTCTCTTGGCGGAAAGCAGAGGTTGGTACTGAGCATCAGAGTCACTATTAATATTAATATGGCCTTAACCAGGCGCTTGCAGGTCAGATAAGAATGAGATGGTGGATTTGGGCAAACTTTCGCTACGAGAGACTCCCAAATTTTTGCTTCCTGTGCGGGATTCTTGGTCATGCTGGTCGCTTTTGTCCCTCTAATTTGCATAGCGGTGCATGGATTGGGGAAAAGCCTTATGGGTCATGGTTAAGGGATGATATGAGGCGAGGTGGATCACATCTCGTCAAAAGATGGCTTATTCCTAGCAATAATAAGCCATGAGACAAGAGGGATGAGAGAGATGACTTGGGCAAAACGACAAGCGAACAGGAAAGTTATTTGGTGGAATGCCTCCTATCAAAGGGCAAAGAGATTGTTACAACACAGGAAGTACCAAAAAAACACAGGGTCACCGAGAAGGATAGTGAGGTCTGGGAAGTGGCGGTGCTGTCTGGGAAGCACCGCCAGTTGCAGAAGATTTGGAGGATAAACACGAGGAACCTTTAGCGGTGGCTGGTGAAATCGTTGTTTCCTTGCCAGTGGTTGGAAAAACTAGTTTATGTTCTTCTTTTGATTTGTTGTCATCTCGGAACTCTTTTATGTTTTTAGCATTTCATTCTAGTAGCAGGTGCATCATTGTTGTGAATGGAGTCTACCATATTGTGGGGTTAGCGAGATGGACCGCTACTAAGCGTGATTCCACCTCTGAGTCTCACCCCAGTGTAGCCTTTGTTATGATGAACTTGTATCTGGTCCTCAGCAGTTTGAATATGAATTAAGTTATCTTTTGCCAAAAAAAACTTGAGGAAACACCAGCGATACAAATTTAATTCGTGATAAAAATGGTGATCCATTTAAATCAACTTCCACATTTAAGGTCTTCCCTTGCAGGCGGTCTTTTAGTTGACTTATCAGGCACATAATTGGTGAATTTCCCCGTTGATGACAATCTCATTGATTGATTCCCTAGAATTTAGCTAAAAAATTTGGTTAATAGAAGCAAGAAGCTTGAACCGTTAATTAATGAGTGGTGATTCATACAAGAGCTGTGGCAGAAACCCAAACCCGCTTTAACGAGGTGATAATGAGCCCGTTTGGATGCTGACGTTTCACTCCAAAGCGTCGAAATTTTATAACTCAAAACGCTGCATGATGTAGCGTTTTGGCATCCCAATCGCCATTAAACAAACAGGGCCAATGTTCGGCTTATCACAAAAATATATGAATTGTATTATCCAAACGAGCTATGAAAAACAATTTTACTACTTGTACACAATTTCTTATACACATCTTATACACACGTCTGTGAGAAAACTACTTTTTTGTCAGTGAATCTCATTTACAGACAAATATGTCTTTGAATATGTTCACAAATATGTTTTGTCTGTGAACGAGATTGACTGACAAAAAATAGTCTTCTACTCCGTAATAGACTTGTGTATAAAGTTTGTATAAAGTGTATAATTTTTCTGTTAAAACTTAAAATAAAGAGCACATTTGTTGACACGTGGGAATGGTAATTTGTAGGTCAACACACATGCGTTTGTCGAGCTATCAGTAGACCAGATCTTCAGAAATTTTTACGAGCTAACTGTATAGTTGAAATCTTTTGAACATTGGGACCTGCTACCAGTTGTGGATCATAACAGGCTGGACGGTTTAATTTGATGGTGATATATCAGTAATGTGAAATATATTATAAAAATAAAACTGGCCGGAATTTGTACCATTATAATTTGGAGTATATTAAGAACAAAGAATAACTTTATACTCCGTATAAAGTAGTCTGGTTGTTGGAATATAATTATTCAAAAGTGATTACTTGTATGATTTGAGGGAGAATTATATACATGGTGAACAGCTGGAAACCCGACCAACTACCTAAACTGATTTTATAATTAGATAATAATATCACAGAGAACTTAAAGGTTTAATCGACAACAGAAATTTATACTCGTCAGAATGAAAGATATGTAATACCGAGTATATTAGATTTTTATGTAATTATTAATGAAAAAAGTTTGTTGTCTTTCCCGGTTAAACAGAGAAACCGTCTAGAAGGGGTGAATAGACTGTTTTGATTTTTAAGTTTCTCGCGAGACAGAATGTTGTCTCACAGAGTTGATCTAGTTTTGGGCAGAACAGACATGCAGCAGATGGTAGTACTGATCGGGTTGCCTCACAGAAACACACCAAGGCAGAAAACGTTTTTCTGTTAACTCTAAGAACGAGATCTGGTGATCACATATTCCAAGCTCTTTTGAGTAAGACAGTTAAGATCCTAAGAGCAAGAAGTAAATGTAGTAAGTAAATGACATCAGGGTTCTTAGAGTGGTTCAAGGAACAATTCGTTCCTCTAGTCCATTGTTCCTCTAAGCTTGTAAAAACGGTTACAACACGTAGACACTGCAACCCTAGCACTTAAGAATCTCTCCACGTCTTCACCCGGGATGCACTTTCTTGCTTCCTTATGATTGCCTTTTCACTCAAGTTACTTTGGCGTCCTTCTTTTACAAGAAGATAACTTCGAATGAGTTCAAAGGTTTTCCTCCAACGTACTTTGTACAAGATGTATAGATGATGGTTTCGAAGTAGTTGAAGAACTTGGGATGAACTTGCTTTTAGAGTTGGTTGATGGATTTGAAATATTATCTCCTAAGCTCTCCTATGAAATTCTTGTGTAGGTGAAGATATCAACGTAAAGACCATGTATATGTGAAAAACAATAGTCGTGTGTAGTGAGGGACACAACAAGTCTCAAACTCTCAATTGGATGGACGGTAGTGTAAAAAAATACATACAAATATATGTATATTAAAATTTTGGAATAAATATATCTAGTAGAAAAAAAATTGGGAGGTAACCCCTACTTGTCCCGCTTTGTGTCTGCTGCTGATCATGTACCAAAAGTGATTAAAGTCAAATACGTGAACCAATTGTATAATTGGTGCAATACTTTTACGACCAAAAATGAAATTTATTCTTTCAGAAATATTTATTCTAATAAATTTGATATTATTCCAAATGAAACCTAATTACTAATTTCAAATATAACTGTCCTATTCAATTCACGAGATTATTATCTACAACTAAAACTCTATTCAATTAAATATATTAGAACACATTCTTAAATGCATATGGGTATCCATGTGTTTGGAAGGATTTTTTGTTGCTAGGGTTGGGGTAAATTCAGTTCATGAAATTGGAGGGGATAGCCAACATGAATGTGGCTGCCCTGCTCTCTCATAATGTTAAGGAGTGGAACACTTCATGAACTAATATATATGTACATATAATGATATATATATTCTCAATAATAATGGCATACATATATGGTCGGATTTAATACATCAGAATCAGAATCAATTTCATGCACCTCTTTCGAAACAACTATACTATACCACCGAAACTCTGATAGTCTGATTCTTTTGGAACAACTATATTGGCGGGCTGGGCCGGCCGGACGGCCCGTTTTTGTGTTGGTCTAAACACTATATGGGATATTACACTTCTGACCAGAGAAAACGAAGTGCTACTCCTTGCCTAGATGGAGAATCCAAATTTAAACACTTGTAGCGAAAAGAGGAGATCCAAAGACCAATTAGGGTTGTTGAGTAAATAATTGCAAGACTATAAGAAGTCAATGATGGGTTCGCCAATGGTGAGATTCCTCTCAAGGTTCCAGGGTAGGTTAAAGACTCTAGCCATTATAAACTTAAAGATCTTATTGACATTGATGTTATGGGTTGCGCTTGAGAAGAATAAGGTTGCCTTCATCACCTTAGCATATGCTCTTGCCTGCCAAGTTCCAACATTAATTAATAAATAATAAACATCATCTTTCAATATTACAAATGTTTCCGATTCTACTACTCACACCAAATCAAATAAGATCGAGTCAAAAGAGACAACAACATATGTAATCAGAATCTATCTCCATCCTACTAACATTGGGACATGAAAAAGTGTTGCATTTATTAAAAAATGAGTTCATGTGGTTCATATTGAATTGATAAAGTAAGAATGATTTAGAACCTGACAAATTTTACCAAGTTTGGTATGGTACAAGCTTTGATGGGGCGGATCGAAAAAGATAGTGAGACAATCTTAACAGGATGAAAAGAGTACAAAAATCTTGAGGATATCATAGCTTACCAGACCAGACAAATACAAGACTAATTTAAATCAAATCAAATTTAAAAAGAACCAGGTCATACTAGTTTAGGCCAGGTTTGTATACTGCTTAATACTTTTGTATCTAGTCCAGGTGAAATTTGTATTTTGTATACTAGTTTTAAAAATTCATAATAAGAGGCTTTTAATTTAAGGCCATTTTCTTAATCATTACTATTTGCATCCCGTTTAGAATACTCTGAACGGAATTGCATGTTAAATCTTTGCATCCCGTTTAGAATACTCTAAGGGCTCGTTTTGGTAGTTTACACAATAAATCTTTGCACGCGAAATGATTGCATGCAAAGTTTAGAGAAGTAATCATTTTGCATGTAAAATAGATTACAGTATTTGGGTAGATGCATAAATTATTTTTTAATTTGCACGCAAAAACATTGCAGTGCTTTATAAAAAGTATGCAGTATTTTATCACTCTCCCCCACGTAAAATACTTTACATGGTACTGTGCGAAATGTTTTTAAAAAGTTCTCTACACTTTATTTTAAATAATCAAATCAAACGACGTGAACTTTTCACGTCCCTCCACTTTGCATGTAAAGTAATTATTTAACATCCTGCCAAACTCTAAAGTAGAGTGTATGCTCCAAAGTAGAAGCACAAAGGGACATAAATTACAACTTAAGGATGCAACCATTGAGAATTTCAAAAGTCTAGGGGAAATTAGTGATTGAAAACATTGCAGTAGATATTCGAAGTTAGGTTAAAAAAACAGTGGAAAGTTAGAAGCTCCCATTCTCCATTATAATAAACACAATCAAAGATTGAGTTCAATTAACTTTGAAAAATTGCACGTCTTTTTTCTAGGAATAAATGCACGTTTTAAATTCCATAACATCACAAATGTCCCATTCGGGATGGTTGCCACTTGTTTGTCTTGAAAAATTAAAAGCAGCACTTTCAATGTATCCAAATTCAACGGATTAACGAGTCGGACCAAATTTTTGGCCACCTACCGATAAATTTTCAATGTGTGAACTGTGAAGTGTTAAATACATTTGATAACTTCAATAGAAGTCTAAATATTGTCCCAAAACATTTTATCAACTTTTCTTATTTAGTTATTGTAAAAACCTATGTAGTATAATTTCATTTAAACTAATAGATACTCCTTCCGTCCCTTACAACTTTGCCAAGTTTGACCGGCACGAGGATTAATAAAATAAAAACTGTGTGGTTGATGTTTGTGCAGAGGAAAGAAAATTAACTAGAATCATAAATTCTTTAATTAAAAGAGAAAGTGGCAAAGTTAGTGGGACATCCAAAAAAGAAAAGTTGGCAAAATTTTAAGGGACGGAGGTAGTATATGACTACAATTAGGAGTGTTTGAAATTGATTATGCTTCTGCTTTTTTTCTAAAAACATAAGTAGTTACAGAATCCGTTTTTCAGAAACTGATCTCCCCACTTCCAAAAAACTGCTTCTAGGAGTAACTTGGATGACCCGGAAGCCAATCAATTTTCAGAAGTAGATCCAAACACCTCCTTATTGTATCATTTGCACAAATCTCAATCACACATTTTTTAATTTACAATTCTATGTACAAATCTCAAATTTTGTGAGATAAAAGAAAACACTTAAAAGTCTAATAACCAAAATGGTGTTTACCATTTAGATGTTTTAACTTGAAGGAAAATGTTTTGGTCCAATCTGATATGTAATGTTATGATAAGGGCCGAAACTAATCAGTTTAAATATGATCTCATTTGAATCATTATGGCCTAGTAAAATTTGATTTGTTCGTGTTTTCACGCCGAAATATGCATCTTTTAGTATTGGCATTTTGGCAATCAAATTACCCGCATGGGTAGCTCAGTTGGTTCAGTGGTGAGAAACTTGGAACATTGACCAAGGTTCGAAACCCGCAACGACCGTGTGGAGGTTACAGCTCTTGTGTGTTGGGATGAACCTCTGGTGCGCACGGGTATTAGGTCTACTATCATTGGACCGATTGAGTAATCGTGACTTACATACTCTCAAAAATTATGTCGTGTAAGGGTGTGGGGCCCTTGGGTTGGGGATTAAACCTTTTCGAACATTAGTATTGGCAATCAAAAGAAGAGTTGACTGATTTATTCACACCTATCCATTCTGCTGGACATTTACTGCCGACACACTCCTGAACATCACTTTATAAAATGCTACTCCCGTATAAGCTAATAAACCTATCAAAATAGTGTGGTAAACGAAGTGATAATTTTGATTCGTGATTAGAATTTGAAAATATGGATTCAAAATCGATTTAGTAGAATACGCATAGTGATACAAATCTATATTTTGATTCGAATAGTTTTAAATACGGATACAAATACTATGATATTCGATTCAAATAATATTTGAATTATACTCCCTCCGTCCCTGTATAAAAGTATCCATTCGTTTTCCACACATTTTAAGAAAATGGGATTGATTGGTACTGTTTGGCACTATTTGGACACTGTTTGGCACTGTTTTGCACTGTTTTGTTTGCCAAAAAAAGAAAGAGAAATTTTATTTAGGGACGGCCCGAAAAGGAAACAGATGCTTTTATTTAGGGACGGAGGGAGTAATATATATAGGGAGCGGTTCTGGTAAGAACGGACTTCCAGGAGAGAAATGAGAACAAATCTGGACCGTTGGATTGTATTATGTGGAACTGGATTGTGCATTTGGTAAAACTGAAATGTGCATCAGATGATATTGAAATGTGCAAAATAAAAATTTAAACTCAAGTGTGCATTAGGTGAAATTGAAATTTGCGGAATAAAAGGTACAAAAATAACTTCACATCGTACCTTATATTCTGCACATTTCAGTTTCACTTAATGCACATTTCAATTTCACCTAATGCACAATTCAGCTTCACATAATGTCATTGTATCGTACCATTTGTGCTGCACATTTCAATTTCACATAATGCACATTACAGTTTCATCTAATGCACATTGAGTTTCACTTAAAGCAAATCTAACGGTCCAGATTCATTCTCATTTCTCTCCTAAGATCATGTTCTTATTTGAACCAAAACCTATATATATATATATATATATATATATATATATATATATATATATATATATATATATGTTCTACTCCTTATAAATAAATATAATCCAATGTAAAAAAATTAATAATATACTACGTAATATTTATATATATCCATACAATATGTTCTACTCCTTATATAATCCTATGAATATATATATATATATATATATATATATATATATATATATATATTCATACAATATGTTCTACTCCTTATAAATAAATATAATCCAATGTAAAAAAATTAATAATATACTACGTAATATTTATGTACAAAAACTAGTAGGTATTTTGCATTTTTTAATTTAAATGCTCTTACTTTGCCATGCCAAAATAGCTTATTTTAGAATTATAATTCTCTAAAATAAGTGATTTGTAGATATATTTTGTTTGGTATATGCAATACATAAACTCAAATTTGATAAACGTTAGATATATAAAGTAAAAAATTAAGAAGACTTTACGTTGACCGGAGAATAGTGGACGAAAATAAGTGTATGAAAAGAAGGTAGTATGTATTATGAAAATGAGGTCAAAGAGGTAAACTATACATTATAATTATAATAATTTTCATAATTTAACTTCAGTGTTTTTCGAATTCGAATAAGATTCTAATATTCAAATGAAATTAGAATATACTCGAATATACCAAACAAATCGAATACAAATATAAAATAAGATTTGAATATTAAATGAATACAAATAATTTTGTCAAATATTCGATTCGTCTATCTATGACCCGTAATTTTAACGATGGAACTAAAGAGGGACTAGACGTGGCTAGAGCACCCCCAATTTTTTTGTTTTTTTAAATGCATATATGTGTGTGTATATATTAAGCTCCAGCCTCCTAATAAAATATTTTTATCCGCCTAAATCCATATAAGATTTATTTCTTCCATCCCTAAAATAACTTTTACTCAAGTTTTTGGAATGCTAATAACTAAAGTCTTATTTCTTGGTAAATGATTTTCTATTAATTTACTCAAGTAGAGATATGTCAATCCAGAATCCTGATCAATGTGGTTTGAAAGGGACAAAATTACACAATTATTCTGACTCTAAAAACATTCACTAACTAGTTGGCAGTATGAGTTAACATTATCCATTTCCAGATGCATAAATTAACCAAAATAGGTCTGTTTTCATTGGTTTTTTAGCTGATCTAAAAGTATTACGTTCATAATTCTTGGCTAGAAAAGTTTAGCTACCTGAGTGATGACTGAGGACTGAACGTCCGGCGGAAGCCGGGCAAAATCGTCAAACTTGGAGCCGATGAGTATAGGAATTGCAGTCTGCATTACCATTCCATCCACATTTTTAGATTGACATATTTCATACTATTGGCTTTAACATCAAAGGATGAACCCCAATAAGTTGATGAGTTAAATTGGTAAAAAATGATGGGTAAACTTCTATTTTAGGGTGTAGAAAGCAATAAATTTGAAAACAAAGTGCAAACTCAGATTCTTATAACCCTTCTGAGAAAAATAAGTCGTTTTTGAAAACTTTGAATATACGTGTTAAAATTTTGTAGAAAAGTTTATTTGATTTTTTATAGGTCCAGCCCAAATTGTAGACTAAGTCATTGTTTAGTCATTTCTTAATATTGCTTTAGGTAATGGACATGAAGATATAATTAAAGATCTTCTGCTTGCAATATTATTAGTGTCATATTAGATTAGACTTAAATAGAGCAGAATAAATACAAATATTAACATATCTTTACCAACTTGACAGGACATATACAAATTAAATTAATTCTGAAAATTTCAGTTCAACTGAAAACTTTTTAATTGTGAGCAACAAATTGACAATAATCTATTTTTGGTTATCTCATTATTTAGTAATTGATGGAAATGAATCTTTTAATTATTGATGTAACTAGCTAACTCCCAAGTCCAATTTCATACTTAGTATTATTCTGACCTTTCAACCACAAACAATATGAAGGAGCCTTGTTGGTTGGGAAAAAGATTCCCCAATTACCATTTTATCCACAACAGAAACAAAACAACCCAAGATGCTTGTTTCCCACTACAGCCTACATCTATTTCCAATTATAAGAAAACAGTAATGTGAAACATAAGCTTACAGCAATTGCTCACCTGATTCCACTTTCTTGCTTCACTGTACCATCCTATTACACTGCAAAACCAATGAAAATAAAATTTATTTCTAAAATTCATTTTTAAGATTGCTAGTTTTTATGACATTTACTTGAATACCCAAAACAATTTAAAAGAGAAAATTCATCATCATCATCATTGCCCCAGTGCCGCAAAGGCTCCCACCTACGGTGGTGGGGTAAGGGGGGTCGGATGTACGCGGTCTTACACATGTACTAAAGCACAGAGAGACCGTTTCCGGATGACCCATAGTAATAAAAGAGAAAATTCTTATACCTTCAAAAAAATAAGTGAAAAAATACCTGTTCAGTGTGCATCTACTAGTAAGATCAAACATGAAGAGAATAGCAATTGCATCATTGCAGGCGTTTGGCAGCTGCTCTCCTGCTCCATAAGTTTCAAGCCCCAACAGAAGTTACAAAACAATAATCAGATTCTCCAATTTTGCAAATTCGTTATTTATCTCTGGTTCTACTTATAAACATAGATTCATTTATAAAAAATTATTTAATGACAAAAACCTACCAATAGGTTATCTAAGCAAATTGAGTTTTATTTATGAGTGATATGAAGTGCATTTTATTCTCCCTTGAGTTAATTTAGGTATGGATACAGTCCCAGTTCTAGACATCCAGAATGACATGTTTATTAATCAAAATCTTGACCAGTTGGTAGATCCTGAATCACTCAATCTGAATCTGTTCATCCAAATATGAATGAACAAACCTGTTCCGGTTCGGATACAGTTTCTTGATGGTTACATAATCGGGAAGGATTCAGATCCAAATTGTTTGTTCTAACTGGCTTTGCAGCCATACCGGTTCTATAGATGACCCGAATCCGTTTTATACTATCCTCGAACTCACTATCTTTATCTCATTTTTCCTCTATTATAATTCTTGCTTTATTCACACTTTGTAAATTCAGTATCACATAATTCAATCTAGTATCAGAACCGAGCACAATGGGGTTGTGTCCAGTATCCACACCTAAATTAAACTCTATTCAAATAATTGTTTACCCCATTCTTCTAGATAAACCTCATGATATCCCAACAAGAATTTTATACACACACCTTAGTTCACTTAAGTTTATCCAAAGTTCATATACATTTTATCCAAATGAGAGCAATTAAATATTCAGTTTTGGTTCAGAATAAATGCAAATAAAAAAGAGAAAAAAAAACCAATACCTCCAACATCCCATATTCTCAAAGCAATCCTTGCCCCTCTGACAATCAATGTTTTGTCCATGAAATTTAATCCATTCATTTGCAGACACCTCTTTTCTTGATCACCTCCTACATACTTTGTCTAAGAAACGAATATTTGAACTTTGAAGGATTTATGTGAAAGCTAAAATTGATAGAATCTTGAAACCAATCATAAAAAGTGACGCACCACAAAACTTGTTTTCCCAATCTGGGAATCACCCAATATACTGATCTTCAAGCTCACCAAATCTGATTCACTTTCATACCCAGAGCGGGTAGCGGTAGTGGGGGCATCTTCGATCACGACCTCCATGGATTCCGGCAATGGAGCACCGCCTTCTCGGCCTGCTATTCTCCGGTACCGCGCCGGCTTCTGAGTGGAACAAACGAGCAGTCTTTCCCAAATGAGCCGAAAGAAATCCTTGAGATATGAAACTCTGTCTACTAATCTCCACCGGAAGTTGAAGTCGACGATTTTCCGGCAAAGCTTTGTCATCTTTCCGGTGGCCTCATGGATTTGGTGAGACATCACAAATATATACTTGGCTTGTAAACAATGATTCTTGAGCTCTTCTTACTCACTCACTATGTCATGTGTAAAGTAAAGTTTTGGCTTTCGGATGATTCCTTTCTTTTTTTAAAATTATTAGTACGGAGCTTTCGGTTGGCCGGAGGAAGGTCGATGCCTAATGGTCCAAGTTGCCGTCTTTCTTTGTTCTTGGTTCCACTGGTCAATGGAATTAGGCTCTACTTTCGAGACATCTTTTCACTCGAGTTTGGGGCAGCAAACTGATCGGGCAAACATTTTTTAAACAGCCCGTTGAGATCCTGGAACCAAATGGTCAATGAATCGGTAGATCGGTTTATACTTTATACCTAGAAATTGGGTTGAGGTAGTATAAAAATAGCATCCCATCTTTAAGATACGGAGTATTGTTTACTTCCATAGTTCCATTTATTTCAATATATTTAACACTAAACTAGATTAACTTCACAATAATCGTTAAAGAGTTGGGCTAAACCTGAATCTACTGAGTTTGAGTTCGGGTCTCAATCTAAACGGGTAAAATTGCTTACCCATGTGCCCCACACTCGATGGATTGGTAGATCGGTTTATACTTTACACCTAGAAATTGGGTTGAGGTAGTACTCCCTCCGTTTCTAAAACAATTTCCCCATTGTTTTTTACAGTTTTTAAGGGAAAAAAAAATTACTTAGGGTAAACTTTACTGTTTTGACACTGTTGGGGCACTGTTTGAATATTGTTTGGCACTGTTTGGACACTGTTTGACATTGTTTTGCACTGTTTTGATGTAGTTAATTTGCCAAATAAGGAAAGGGGAATTTAATTTGGGAACTACCCGAAAAGGAAAGTGGGAACTTGTTTAAAAACGGAGGGAGTATAAAAATAGCATCCCATCTTTAAGATACGGAGTTGATGGATATATGGGTCTGGGCCCCAGGACCCACATACTCAGAAGAACAGAAAGTACAAGCCACTAAGTGGTGCCCTCGTCGGCCAAAGGACCCCCTTCGGCCGAAGAGCGACCCACTCAGAATATGATCCTGAAGCCAGGGAACTTGGGTGCCCCCGTCGGCCAAACCCTCATCGGCTGTGCCCTCGTCGGCCAAACCCTCGTCGGCCACGGAAGCCTCACAGAACTAGATTTTACATTTAATCATTTCTACACATTGTATTCGGCCCAATAGCGGTCCAGTTGTAAATGGGCCTCCCAAGCCCGAGGCTTGGGAGCTCAGCCCGTATTTTCTCTAGCTCTCACCTCTCTCTAGAAGATACTCTATTAGGAGTATTGTTTACTTCCATAGTTCCATTTATTTCAATATATTTAACACTAAACTATATTAACTTCACAATAATTGTTAACGAGTTGGGCTGAACCTGAAACTACTGAGTTTGAGTTCGGGTCACAATCTAAACGGGTAAAATTGCTTACCCCATGTGCCCCACACTCGACGCGACAGAGTGATAGTTGGATAAATTACGATATGATTTTAGTGTTGAGTCCTGTGTCGCTGTGTGATGCATACAAGGAGTCAAAACATGAGATGAGAATGATTAAACTACTATTGTAGAGACTTTGGACCTATACTTCAACCCCATGTGCTCACACCCAACCCGTCAGAGTGGTAGATGGGTAAGTTATGCTATGATTTCACAATTTCATTTGTTGAGGGAGGTGGTCCGATGTGGTGCGTATAACAAGTCAACACACTGAATGAAACTCTTACACTAATTGTAGATACCTATAGCTATACTTTAGGCGCCATTGTGAAGCATGAGACCACCAAGAGGGCATGGTGGCAGAGGGTTCGGGGGGGAGAGACGGCGTTTTGGCAGAGGACGAGACGGTGGCCGTTTTGGCAGAGGACGAGGCCATCAGCCTTGGATTCGACGGTCGCAGTTCTTTTCGAGATGAAGATTGAAGGCCCGCCTTCAGATGTCATACAAGTTTTTGCATTTATGCACGCTTGCGAAGGAGATGCAGTGACGAAGCTCACCAATGAGAAGATTATGTATTTCAACGCTCCTATTTACATGCAAAATAAAACACATATTGGCAAAATGGATGAGATTTTCAGCCCAATCAGTGAGTCGTTGATCTCCATCAAAATGATGGAAAGAATTATTGCATCATCATATTCTTCAGGTGATAAGTTCCACATAGACCCGGTTAAGCTATTGCCCCTAGCCAGATCCTTCCATTGCCCAAAGGACATCCACACGCCGCCCATGCATATGGTGGAGACGGTGGTGGAAGAGGGAGAGGAAGAGGATGTGGTGGAGGCAGTGGCTTCCGTGGTAAAGGTGCCCATGTGGATGTGGACCACCAAGGGGTCGTGGTGGTTTTAGAGGCCGAGGTTGAAGAGCATAGAATTGGTGTTTGTATCTTTTACTTCAATATCCAAAAAAAAAAACTTATACATATACTTCAATCCAGTTGCCTATAGGGGTGGACTGGTCACCACTCCTCGACCAGGACCGACTTGGTGGGCAGCGGGCTTGGGACCTTCGAAAGTAGGGTCGAACATCTGGCAGGTAGGGTCGGGTTTGCTATGTTTTTTGGGTTTACCAAATTTATCTGTGTTGACTATTAACCAACCTGCAGTATGCAATCTAAGTTGGTAAATCATACATGAACGTGTCGGGTAGGGTTGGGTATTGAAAAATCACTTCGGGTTGGATCTTTAATGTGGGCAACTAATGAAACCAATTTAAAAATTGGTTAACTTGTTTCCAAAATACACAAACAAATACAAGTATCTTTTATAAGCATAAACTTTAGGCAATAGTATCAAAACATCTTTGCGTAAAGGAAGTTCATTTAGAAGCAAACGTAAATACTTCGTATATAATAATGGAGCCCCTATAATAATCACATAGTCAAAATGGTAATGTTTATAATTACAATATCATAAGGTCTTAGATAGAGTTCATCCGTCTTAATAGAAATTATCTAACAAAACATTTTAGCATAATAATAGCAAAATGAAATTTCGGCCGGGTCGGCTGTTATCGAGTTAGAGATTTTGATTACGCAACCCTACCCATTAGGTGTGAGTTCGTACATATTTAACACATTAATATTTTTTATATCAAATACCCGATTAAAATGGCTAAGTAGGGTTGGGTCGGGCGGGTTATGCGGGTTTGGGTTATACTTGTGTATTTATTTAAAGTGCAAGCTATTTAATTTTTAAAATTTAATGTATTTATTTAAATTTGTTACATAATAAATTTTTTAATTCATACTAAATAAACTATGATTAATTAAGCCTTTAATGCTTACATTAATCAAAATACAATGCTTGTAAATAAAAGATACAAAGTATAAAATTAGAAGCTAAGTAATACGGAGTATCGAAACATCGGTAGCTACAAACAATGAGCCTCATCTTCTCAAAAATAACACAAAATGAAAAGAATAAATATAAAAATTAAAAATTTACTAATGGGCTATGAATAATCAATTTGTGATGAAATGTGGTGTCCTACTATCATTTAGTCTTTTCTTGATATATTGTTACTATGTGTCTATGTGGTGAAATTTCTTGATCTACCATAGCAAAATCTCCACTCCTTATCAAAAACATTTTGCAAGTTGCTTTAATTTGTGCATATTTTTATCAGCTTCAACACCAATTTTGAGCAGGTCTTTCTGGCCATTTCTGAAGTACAAACTTGAATGGCATTGTAGAGGGCTACACATTTACTTGTTTATCTTCTTCATTTGCTTCTGCTGTTTGACCATGAGGTGTTGGGGTTGACTTTTTTGAACTTGTTGCTCTTCTGTCTTGAATTGTGACTCGGAGTCTACGTTTTGAATAAGGTGAGAACACCGGTACCCATTTAAAAAATGGGGTATCGTACCTATCATTCACTCGATTGGTCCAAACATGTATATCATTTTTAATTTAGACTTTAATAATTCAACTGTAACATTCTGATTGGTCCATGTGAACAAATGCATGATACCTTATAGGTACCATAGAATCTACCTTTGAATATATATGTATAATTACTTACATAAAACATAAGTAATTATAGCTCTTATGAATGAAGAAAAAATCAACTTAGTTGGAAGTTTTGGGTTACCGACACAAAAAAGTCATCCAAATTGTAGAAAGTTATATATTATGGAAGACACCACAAACAAACGGAAAAAGGACGATATAAACTATGAAATTGGAACTCCCTTTGAAGTCCAATCCAAACACATAAAATAATACATGAAGCTATTATCGCAAAATAGAAGCATCACAAAAGGTTTAAGATTTATAATTTCATATTCGATCATTAACATTAAAAGGGCGAGAAAGGAGCATCACACGATCATACTCACCCAAGGTGAATGCAAAGGAAAGATGATTCTTGAAGACATGTAACAAATAAGCTCTAATCAAGCCAAGACAAGCAAAATACCTCATCCATCAAACACTCCTTGCAAGTGAACATCTGTTCAAACAACCTTGAAGCTTGTTTTGTGATCAAGGCATGATGTTGGTAGATTGTTTACTCAAAGAACATATAAGAGTGAAATAAAGAAGTTTACATCACCTGACATCATTATTTCGTTTACTCTCACCACTAACACTCGATAAATATTTTACTACACATGAATGAAAGCTTTCACACATCACACACAACCCATAGACACTTTAAAAATATATTAGTCCACTCTCAAAGATCACCGAGCACCGATATAAAAAGTTGAAAAGTATTATAAGCGTGTAATTGAAAAAATATTTAATAGTAAAAGGAATAACAAGGATATGAGAAATGAATGCAAATTATTCACCCTCTAGACTCTTTTGAAGTCTACGACTCTACGAGAAGTAGGTGTCACAACTAATTAAATTTTCAATTACTTATTTTGTTCAAGTAAAAGTGTGATCGAAAAATTGATTTCATTAATTGAATTACAAAGTTTTGCAATAACTTGTTAGAATTAACTATGTAAGAATTAACTATGTAAGTGGTGTCACAAATGCAATTGTGCATTAGGTGCGTTTTCTTGATGTAGGCACGCTTTAAAGTAATTGTGCAAAATAATTATGCGGTACGTTACATTATAAACTCAATAAAGATATCATTAATGTTTTAAAAAGTATTGGCGTATATGCAGGTGTGCATAGTAGTTTCTTTCTACATATTAATGTTGTGTAGAGAAAATATACAAAATAGTAATTTGAAGAGGTATTGAATCGCAAATACTCGAAAATGAATATTACAATTTTAAAAAAAAGTATTGTCACTTTTTTGTGTGGCTTAAAAATTGAATTTCAAACTCCCTAGCTACTTTTCTTCTCATCCTTCAAAATGCCTAATTGTTTTTCCTTATGTCACCGTCCTTTTGTGGTTTAAATGGCTTCACTTCAAACAAAACTTATCTCCCAAATAAATTCCTATACATACGCATTATGAATGGTAAAGGATTTCCCACAAAGTAGGGTTAATTAGCCAACTTCCTTTTTTACTTTATGTGTGTATAAATCAACATCAAAGCACATGTATTTTCTACCCAAACATACATATATCTTCCTTCATTTGAAGTCGGTAATGTGAATAATGAGTGTAGCTTTTGTTGACGGTCCTGTGGTAGAGGCGTTTGTGAATGATACCAAATCTTTTAACCATTGGATCGATGAAAAGTTCAAGTCACTTGACGTAGATAACACAGGGGAGTTGTCACGCGAAGCATTGGGAGATGGGCAAGGAAAGTTTGGATCACAGGAGTTTGAGTTGCAGTCTCGGAACGAGAAACATAACTTGTACAATGCCGTTTTTGAGAGATTCGATGTGGATAAAAATGGAACCATTGATCGCGAAGAATTTAGAGAATTGATGAAAGAGATCATGTTGGCTAAGGCTCGTTGCATAGGGAAATCACCTGTCCTCATTATTCTTCAAATGGATAGCTTGCTTATGAGAGTCGTTCAACATCTTTCAGATAGTCAATAGGAAAAAAATCTTCTCTTGCTTTAGATGTTAGAGAAGCATATATAGAGCCCGTTTGGTAGCACGAAAATCGGTTGTTTTGACTGATTCTGCTGAAATTTATGAAGTTCTCGCTGAAGTGGCTGCATTAGCTGATTCTGCTGATTTAAGAAAAAAATAATTTTAAAATATATTTTATTAATAAAATAAAGAAAAATTATATGTAAAAATAGCTAAAATAGTCATCTATAGTAACTTTAGTCAATACAGCCAGAAAAGTAACTTCAAACTTATTTTTTCTGCTTACAACACAATTCAGCGCGCGAAATCAAAAGTTATGTTTTGGTGAAAAAGTTGGTTGATAAGCATGATAAGCCGAAAAACAGTGTTGCTAAACGACCTCATAGTGTTATTTTGCATTTTACGCATATACTTCACAAAATTCAGAGGATACAGAGCGAATCAAAAATCTAATTCTAAATTATCATGATACATCTAACATGTCATATGATGCTTATGGTGATATCGGCATAACATGCGCATGGTGCGCCCATCCCACTACTTTTTTATTTCCCTGCACGTACACATAACATTTCCTTTTCTCATTCCTTCTTTTTTTATCTTCCTTTTCTACTATTTTTTTCTTCTCCATCAAATACTAAAAATGCAATTACAATTTTATTTTTCTTAATCTTCATTTTAAATTACAACTCAATCTATTTTTTATTCTTTACCAATTCATAACAAAAAAAATGAACATAAATAAAATATGTATATTACATTTCACATTCACTATTTTTATTTGCGTATTTTTTTGTATTATACACTTTTTGTATTTTTTTGTATTATACATCTTTTGTAATATTAATATAAATAAAATAAATATATTACATTTCACATTCATACACTGTTTTTATTTATGTGATTTTTTTGTACCATACACTTTTTTGTAATATATTTTATCGTATTCATACACTTTTTCCTATAATATATGGGGGTTTTCAAAAATATTACCAAAATAAAACTTATTTACAAAAATATGACTAATTGTTACTATAATGTAATGTCATAGTAACTTCAGTTTAAAAGTTGAATATAATTAAGTTACTATGATTCCATTACAACTCTAGTTACTAGTTAGTCATATTTTTGTAAACAATCTTCATTTCTTATTTTCACATGTGTGAGTTATCTTTATAGACAATTTATGAAGTTACATTTGATAATATATGGAGTTACATTTTCCTGTGCACGAGTTACATTTGTTTATGTGTGAATTACATCTTCATATGCACGAGTTACATTTGGATATGTCTCAACAAGTTACATTTTGTACAACCTAAGTTAGATTTTCCTCCAAGCAAGTACATTTTCCATAACACGAGTTACATTACAAAATATACTCATACTAAATATTGAAACAAAAAACCATTTTTATGCCAAATAAATGATTTTTTTGGCAAAAATGATTTTTGTTTAAAACATATATATGGACTTAATACGACAAACAAACATATTCACTATTTACGTAAAATAATTGAACAATTACTCCTTACTTATCATTTGATAGTAGATGAAGTTATATCTTTTTTTACACGTATTACATCTTTTTATGCTTGAGTTACATTTGAGCTTTCTCAACATTTTGCATATACATTTTGAACTCACGTAATACAAAATGGTCTGCCTCATCTTCTATCTATCTTTGCGGTTTCATTCGTCCACCCGAAGCCTGCGCGGCAGCGATGCCGACGGCGGAGGGCCTCAGACCCGTGGCCGCACCGTTGAAGCCTTCATATGCAGCGGCGGTAAGGGAACATCTCCCCGGCCAACGATTGCACACTCAAACAAAAGGTCAGGTTCAACGAAAGAAAATGAGGTGCAAATGTGATATTGCTCTGAAATTACGTAAAGATGAGATTATTCTTATTCATTTTTGCTTTAGTATATGCTTAAAGGAGAGAGGAGTAAAAGCCAGGCTTAACAAAGCTATCCTATATAGCGGGGAGATCATCGACACAATAAAACAAATTCACTCCTTTGCAACTCGTCGAATCATCGTCCTAAACCTTTTTCACCGCCGGCCATGGAAGTTCCCTTCAGGATCCTTTTCCTGATCGCAATCCTCTCAGTTTCTTTGTTCGTCACACAGCACGGACATGGCTGGAAGCAGGCGTTTCGGCCATCTGACCTTATTCCGCTTATGCCCTACCAGCTTTCGCGGCCTATCATGAACTCTCTCCACGGTGCAGCGGACCTCTTACCCGCCTTCGTAGGCGCTGCTCCGATCTCAGGGAACGACACTCTTGAGTGGAAAGGGTCTTGCTTCTACAATAACTCTGCCTGGTTGGAGCTCCACAATAAGAGTGGTACTCCTTTTGGTGGAGGCACTCTTCATATCAAGGTATGAAGTTCTTTAGGTTCTCCTTTTAGTTTGGGACTTCGTTTGTGTATGTTTTTTCTTGATTTCTTAAGTGCTTGAATGGGGTGATGTCTTTCCTGAAGTTTGACTGCTAGTAAGTAGTAACTGAGGAAAAGCATGTGGCTTTTACGCAATTTTTAATTTTTATCTTCTTTATTTGAGGCAATTTTAAGCAAGTGTTTGGACTTGAACATCCATATTTACAATTTTCGAAGTTCTGATAGTCTCTTATCTTCGAAGTGTTTAGGATATTTAATTATTTACTATGTGATACTCCTCCATCTCGAGTAAAGGCTCCATTCGGTTTACTGTTTGATTGACCCTCTTAAATGATCCTCGTAAATGAAGTGTATGTATTCAGAAACTATATTAAAAGTTTTATAAAGCTGTAAAAAACTAAAATTTGATAAAAGTTGGTAAAAGATTGAACAATTTACGCTGACCGGAGAATAGTACTAAGTTTTCTGAAGAAAGCGTTCTGTTATCTTTACTATTATTATTATCATTATTTATTTGTGCAGTCTTTCAATATGAGCTCTATTCATTGATCAGGTAAGCAATGCACACAGCTGGACATGTATGGATCTTTATGTCTTTGCAAGCCCGTACCGTGTAACATGGGATTACTACCTTTTATCCCGAGAACATACACTTGAATTTGATGCATGGGAATCAAAAGCCGAGTTAGAATATGTGAGTAGACTTCTCTGAAATTACGTTCATTATTATAAGGTATCATTATTTCATTATTAAACATAAGTTTTAGGTTAGACTAATGGACTTTTGGAATAATATCAATGGCTACAGGTAAAGAAGACCGGGATTTCAATTTTTCTCATGGAGGCAGGAATGTTAGGAACCCTTACTGCACTATGGGAAGTCCTTCCTTTATTCACAAACACTGGTTGGGGCGAGAACTCGAACATTAATTTTCTCAAGAAACATATGGGAGCTTCATTCGAGAAGCGTCCTCAGCCATGGATGACAAACATTTCTACCGATGATATACATTCAGGAGATTTTCTTGCGATATCAAAGGTTAGAGGCCGCTGGGGTGGTTTTGAGACTTTGGAGAAGTGGGTAACTGGTTCTTATGCTGGTCATAGTGCTGTTTGCTTGAGAGATTCTGAAGGAAAGCTATGGGTGGGTGAATCTGGAAATGAAAATGATGAGGTAATGCTTTACATGTAGTAAGATGTTAGGGGCACTTTATCTCAGCATTCTAGAATATAGCAATATTCAGGCAATTATATACTCCCTCCGGGCTCCGTCCGTAATTTAACTTCCCTTTTAACTTGGATAGTTTATAAGAAAGTGAAAAGTTTGTGATTGTGTATTCTCTGTATACTTTTTTTTCGTCCATCCACAAAAAATGCTCATTTCCTTTTATGTAAAGAAAAAAGGTTCAGATCTGCTAAAGTCTGGTTTTATTGGCTAATACCACAAAAAAGCTGCTAAAACTCAATACTAAACGGTATTTTAGTCATTTACCATTTAGTCATTTAACTTTTTAACATACAGTGATTTAGATGTACAATAACCTAGTAGAAGCTTTAGGACTTCCTGACATTTAAAGTAAGGAATTTTGTGTTCCAAGCAAAGTTGATTTCATTAATAAAATTCAGAATTTCTTCCATGGGAGGAAGTATTCTTGAAAAGAATAATTGATGCACAGTGTTGCACTACTATTTACCTATCCCGTGATGATCTTGAATGCTACATTATCAATGCTGTATTAATGTCAAGTAGTTCAACACTTCCTTTGGCAAATCTGCTTTTATCATGTCGATATTTGCACATTTTCCTTTTCAGGGAGAAGATGTTATTGCTGTCTTACCTTGGGAAGAATGGTGGGAGTTTGAGACGACGAAAGATGACTCGGATCCACATATTGCATTGCTTCCTCTGCATGAAGATCTACGGGCCAAGTTCAATGAGACTGCTGCATGGGAATATGTTAAAAGCATGGAAGGTCTGCCTTATGGTTATCACAACTTACTCTTTAGCTGGATAGACACAGTAGACGGAAATTATCCTCCGCCTTTGGATGCTCATCTGGTAATCACATATCGCCTAGTCGCATTTGTTCTTCTTGCTTCTGAAGTTCAATTTTAATTTATTCTTTTCTCGTTGCATTTTTGTTGTAGATATGTTTACTTCAAGCAACCCATTATTACAATTCTAAACCCTTATATGGTGGGGCTATAAGAAACTATTCCAAATAGGAGTGAAACACGAGTCATGTGCACAAATAGGAGCATTCTTGTTTGTGCTAAATATAGACTCATTTACCTCTAAAATGGGTAAAAGAGTAATCCATACTGCTTTTTAGAACTACAGAAGTGAACGAGTCATATTTTCTGGGGGAAAATGATGGTCTAATTTGAAGAAATGTGTTATTTTTGGGTCATATTCAGGAAAATTTCCGAGCTGTGAGCTTGATTTTGATGTGGCTCACTAACTTGTACTTCATCATTCCTAAAAAGATAGTCTTGTATGCAAGTATGGGGATTAAGAAATACTCCCTCCATCCCGAATTGTAAGGCACTTTACGATTTATGATGTTTGACCGACAATAAAGCAAATGGATCCCTGTCCGCACTCAAATTATTTTTAGAAAAAAAGAATTAGGGAGAACTATCAAATAAGCCCTCGAACTTACATAAAAAGTGCAAATAAGCCCTTTTATAGGAGGCTCTGTCCGGCCGTCGCCATTTGGGGCGGTTCCCGGTGGAATTTTTTGATGAAATTTTTTGAGCATCTTATTTATCAAGTCTAGTTTACTCATACCAAATCTCAGCTAAATATTCAATCGGGAAGGCACTCGAATGAATTTTTGAAGATAACTGCGCAGTTAAGCAGCGCAGTATATTTCAGAAAATCATTTGACTGCCTTCTCGGTTGAAGTTTTAGCTGACATTTGGTATGAGTAAACTAGACTTACTGAAGAAGATGTTCAAAAAAATTTATCAAAAAATTCCATTAGAAACCGGCCCAAATGGCGACGTCCGGACAGTGCCTCCTATAAAAGGGCTTATTTGCACTTTTTATGTAAGTTCGAGGGCTTATTTGATATTCTCCCAAAGAATTACATATTCAGAAACTATATTAAAAGCTTTACAAAGTCACAAAAACTAGAATCAAATTTGATAAAAGTTTGATATATAAAGTAAGAGATCAAGAGTTATTTGTGTTGACCAAGTGAATAGGAAAAGTATCTTACAAAATGGGACCGAGGGAGTAGTTGTTAAGTTAGATCGATAATTTATTTAATATGTGATTTTCATCTTTATCCTTTTGTGTTGGAATTTAATTACTTACTAGTTGCTTCTATCTTGGAGTACTGGAAAAGCTCATTTAAACACACACCTACTATATAAACTGGACTTTCTCTGTGGGACAGACCGAAATGAAATACAACCCTTTGTGGGATGGAGTATTAGGTATACGTTTAATTGGACTTCGTACATGTGTTTGACTGCTTGCATACCTTTTCATGAAGCACCATTAGTGTCGAAAGAAATTGTTATGTCTAGTATTATATCTTTTCCCCGCTTAGGTCCTGCCTAATTTCATTAGATCCTCCTAGAGTCAATCTATCCTGCATAAGGTTCCTAGTATATTTCACAACACTTGATGTGCCTGTAGTCCGGAATTATTGTGTTAAGGGTTGATTGACTGAGAAATGAAAAATCAGATCCGTCATTTTTCCATGTGGCGGACATATTTTGTGAAAGGGAAACAGGTCATCACAAACTTAACAATGTGTGTAGGCAGTGTTATTTGAGCGCACATCACGTTGCATTCTGTTTTTGGAAAAAATTGCAACTCGTGATCTTCAATTAATTAATTTAGTGAATATTTACAACACTTAATCTTCACTTATTTCTTCTATTCATCATGATACTATCTTCCCACCGCCAATGATATTGATCATGAAAAAGGAAAAGTTCCCAAAATAGGAGTAAACAGGTTTTGGAATTCAAAAGCCGGACTCTATGTTTTACTTTCCGAAATAAGAGTAACATGATAGTATTTACTGCCATCTTGAAGCCATTACTACCAAATAGCTGCAGTATTGGGCATTATACATGTTACTCCCTCCGTCCCGCTAACAATGGGACAAGAGGGAGTGGCACGCAAATTAATAAAGTTAAAATGATAAATAAAAATGAAAGTAAAACATAGTGGGACGATATGGAATTCAATAAAAAGTGGTTTATGTGGTTGATATTGAATTGATAAAGTTAAAATAAAGTAAGAATGATTTAGAGCCACACAAACTTTGCCAAATTTGGTATGGGACAATCTTAGTGGGACGGACCGATAAGGTAAAATGGGACAATCATAGCGGACGGAGGTAGTAGTATTTACTATCATTAATGACAGTATATTTCAATCATGGCAGTAACGACTCCTATTTCGGGAGGAAAAACATGGCAGCCATATTTTGAAATTCCAAAACCCGTTTACTCCTATTTAGGGCAATTTCCCTCTGGAAAATAATCTTCACATTTGCAAAATATTCCATGTCGAGTGTTCTGTACATTTGATTAATTTGAATGATAGATTAACATGTTTGTTGATTGGAAGATAATTCCACGATGGTCAAGAAATTAGTTAGTTTACATGATTTGTGGTATTTGTTGTTTGTATTTAGTGTTCCAAATGGTGGTAGGTGGTAGTTGGGTGGTGGCTTGCCACCTAGCCTGTCTAGGTGCCACATAGGTCTTCCCTCTCTTATTTAATTTTTTTTTATAAGTTTAAATAGTATTTACCAGTTTAGAATATCTTGGTAATAGAATAGCTCATATATTTATTAATTTTTATATTTTGTAGTAAAATCGTAAATAATACGGAGTAAAATTATTCATAGAACAATTAAATAACATAAATGGTTCATGTTTTTTGTCAGTTAAAATTTCATTTTTTATTTTAAAAATATTAGAATAATTTTAATAAATATAGAATACTTGATGACCATTCACCATTGACCAAAGGATGTCTTTAGGACTGAGCGGAGAAAATAGATTGGATCGACAACCAACTTACTGTTTGGGCTGCCTAAATCCCACCTAGGCAATCCTGCCTAGCCAATCTAATGCCCGTCTAGCCGTCTAGGCGCTGGTCTAGGCTGCCTAATTGACTGACCATTTTTTCTAACCGCCTAAGATGATCGGGGGTGCCTGGCCACTGCCTAGCATTTAGATGGGCTTTAAGACGATTTTAGATCAATGTTTTTCCTTCTACATTTTCCTGAATTTCTAATAATCTTCAATGTCCCACTGTCTTTTATTTTGATTTTTTGGTGCTTCGTGATTCAGGTTGCATCTGCCATGACAGTTTGGAACCATCTACAGCCTGCATATGCTGCTAACCTGTGGAATGAAGCATTGAACAAGCGCCTTGGAACTCAGGTTATATTTCTGCTTAATGCTTTTTTATACAAAGGAAAAGTGTGGTATTGCTGTTAAGGATTTTTAAATTGTAAATAAAAAGTGTTGAAGTGTGTTGTGGGGAAAATTATGTTTTTAAGTTTTTTATATAAAGTGCTGTGCTAGCAGAGGCCATGTGTGTAAGACTGCTTTTTAGCTAAAAGACTAGTAATACTAATAGTGTCAAAGTCTAGATTTGGTCTGAAAGTTATTCTTGTCAGTTGTGGCTTTTAAGTTATTAGCTGTTGAGCTCAAACAACTTTGTTTAATTTAGATCAACATATACCTAAGCAAGTTATTGTATGAAAAGTACTGTGTGCAAGGGTAGGTTTCCAATATATATGTGTTATGGTTCTGGGACTGAGAACGGGTCCAGGGACGACTTGGGGTAGCAGGTTACCCGGTTGAGGTGATAACCTGCCTGCTAGGGTTACTCCTCTTCTTGCCCGTGGCTGGAAGAGCGCAGTAAGAGCGCAGGGGGAAGGGGGAAGTCCGTGACTTCTCTCTGGGGATTAATTCTTCTAATGATCGATGATTTTATTAAGGCTGAAAAAGGAATATAAATAGGCATCCTGCCTTTACATGATAGAGTTCTAGTCTAACTAAAACTGTAACCTCTACATACTTCTATTACTAATAGGACTTCTAATCTAATAGAAATTGTAACCTCTAATACTTCTATTCCTAATAGGAAGTAATAAATAAAATATAAAAATAGCATCAGGATAATTTCCCTCATCTAATTAAACTGTTCTAATTAAACCTCCTGGTAGATCCATAAAATGCATCCGTAACATCACTCCCTCCCTCGAAACTGAGCTTGTCCCCAAGCTCATATCCTGGATAAGCAGTGATAAAAGTGTCAAACGGTTCCCAACTGAGCTTGAACTAATAGTTCCACTTATAGCATTGGCAGACAACTCCAAGTGTGGGAAGCCATCATCTTCTTCCTGCTCATCTTCTATCTCGATCAAGAAAAGTTTTTTGCATGGGTGATTCATCATCCACTGTTCATCACAATTATAACATAGCCCTTTTGCTCGTCTTTCTGCCATTTCATCCTTCGTGAGTCGCTTAACAATAGGATTTCCTGCCTTTGTTGTCACAAGCGCTTGTCTAAGCTCTGGCGGGCTGCAAGTGTCAGTGTTTGCCTTGCTTCCAATGCCCGTGCAAGGTTCATTGCGTAACCCAGGTTGCCTGGTTTTGCCATCTCCACATCAGCCCGTAAGTGGGGATGGAGACCTGCGACAAACAAAGCAATCTGATGGGTGGACTGTATTTGTGAAGTTCTTGCTAGGGCCTTCTGAAATTGAGCACAATATTCATCAACTGATCCAATCTGCATCAGAAGTTTCAGATCTCCAATCGGGTTAGAACTCAAAGGGGACCCAAAGCGCTCCAGACAAAGATCTTTAAACCTCTCCCAGTTGACTTCTCCTTCTTCCTCTATCATCTGATCGAACCACAGTTGTGCATCATCTATCAAGTGGAATGAGACCATATTCATCTTTGCAACACTAGGAGTTTCTTGGTTCAAGAAGACTTTTTCGCACCTTTTCAACCAACTGGTAGGGTCGTAGGTGCCATCAAACACAGGAAATTCCATCTTGGCATACTGTGGTTTCCAGGGGTTTGAGGTGCTGTGTGATATCAGGTTGTTTTCGGGTTGCTCTTCATGTGTTTCTGTTGATTTGGAATCCTGTTTTTGGACTGCCAGAGATAGAGCAGCAATCTGCCCTTCTATGGCGGTTACCCTAGCAGTCATAGCCTCCATAAACTCCTTCATCATGGTGGTTAAATCATCATTCTGTGGTGCCATGGATCGTGACAGCTCTGATACCAAATTGTTATGGTTCTGGGACTGAGAACGGGTCCAGGGACGACTTGGGGTAGCAGGGTACCCGGTTGAGGTGATAACCTGCCTGCTAGGGTTACTCCTCTTCTTGCCCGTGGCTGGAAGAGCGCAGTAAGAGCGCAGGGGGAAGGGGGAAGTCCGTGACTTCTCTCTGGGGATTAATTCTTCTAATGATCGATGATTTTATTAAGGCTGAAAAGGGAATATAAATAGGCATCCTGCCTTTACATGATAGAGTTCTAGTCTAACTAAAACTGTAACCTCTAAATACTTCTATTCCTAATAGGAAGTAATAGAAATTGTAACCTCTAATACTTCTATTCCTAATAGGAAGTAATAAATAAAATATAAAAATAGCATCAGGATAATTTCCCTCTTCTAATTAAACTGTTCTAATTAAACCTCCTGCTAGATCCATAAAATGCATCCGTAACAATATGATTCCATAATTTTTGTCATCCCCGACTTTGAATGTAATATTTTTTGGTTCAAGCAGGGGCTAGATCTCCCTGAAATACTTGTGGAAGTTGAAAGGCGGGGGTCCTCTTTTGGGGAACTGTTGACTATTCCAGAACAGGATGACTGGATATATGGCGATGGGAAGTCCACATCATGTGTTGCTTTTGTTCTTGAAATGTACAAGGAAGCAGGACTGTTTGGCTCACTTGCAAGCTCCATTGAAGTTACAGAGTTTACAGTGAGTTTTTTCAGCAGATGCATGATGTGTTCTGTGTTGCTTGTTTTCTTTCTTTTTCACATATGCCTGATATGGTGTGCCATTTTTTTGTGATTAATTTTCCAAGATCAGACTGAGCTGTTATTGGATCAGTTTTTTTGTTTCAAGTAGCTCTTAATTTTTTGAAACAACTACTATAAATACGTAATTGGAGTTCAATTGGAGTTAATGCTTGAAAATGTGTATCACTAAATGTGTTAGATATAAATATACAAAATATCAACAATACTTTTAATTTCGGGTTTGGACCGGATCAGAACCAGAATCTTAAAAGTCAGGGATCAAAGACCAGACCAGTATGTAGTATGTACTATGTAATACTGTAATAGGTCTGCATCCGTTTCTGACCGACTTCTCTGATTTTGTCCGGTTTTCCATTCCCAACTAGAAATTTCTTAGCCTTGGATGAAGTTAATTTTTGCATTTCTCTTTCTTCAAGTGCAGATTAAAGATGCATACTCTCTGAATTTTTTCGAGAATGATATGGGACGCCTACCAACGTGGTGCAATGACGGGGACACAGTGAAACTTCCGTTCTGTCAAATTCTGGGGAAGTACAGAATGGAATTTCCGAACTACAATACCATGGAACCATACCCTCATATGAATGAAATGTGTTCTTCTATGCCGCCCAAATATTTTCGGCCAAAGGATTGCTGATGAACCTTTCCTATATGTTCATATTTGTGGCCTCAAAGTTGTATATATTCCTATCGTAGGGCACATCCGCACGAGGTAGGTGACACTACAAGCTGTATTCATGTGGAAAAATGTTAAGTGTCCGTCCTGGTTCACCGGGTCGATGACAATTTGGAGGTGAAATTACTACTTCACTCACTGTCAAAGTATGGTAAAGTTGACTCCTGCAGTGGATTATCATTGAGCTGCGAGAGCGACTGGCATTACTCATTCATCTGAAGCTGGTTTGGACTTTGGAATGTAAAAGTGTTTGGTTTGTGAATTGATTTGTGCTAAGGTAGCTTGTATGTTATGTTGTTCATGGGCTGGGATCTAAAGCTATAAGGGTTAGCTTGACATGGTCTCCATTGTTACCGTTAGCATGACGATGTAAATACGTTGAAGTTTCACGAGATTCAGTAGGCAATGTGAATGTCTTGCTGTAATTATCTATGCATATACAAGTCTATTGGTCCAGCTTCACTTTTATTGTTCAGCAATTATGTTCACTTTTTTTAACGTTATGCTTTTACTATGTTTCTTATACGCTTTTTGTCCCATTTCCATAAGGAGAGCATGCATGACAAATTGACAATACCATAAAGCCTCCTCAAATACAAATGTCCATGGGATGATGATGATACACTTTAGACTAAAGTGCAACCTTTAACTATCAGTAGAAAAAGGGTATACTTTGCATTCATACTAATAATTTGTGATTTTATATTATATATATGCGTAATATTATCTAATTGTATGATCATTTGTTTGAGGATCACAATTCACAAATGAGAATTGAAAGTTGATGATCGAAAATGAAAATTGAAAGTTGAGGATCAAAAAGTACACCTAGTTCTTTCAATTTTCATTTTGACCCTATTATTGTGTTTTTCACATATGATTAATATAAATTCATGTTAGCATATCTCAAAAGCTTTCGAGTTTAAGGATGTTTTTACTTGGATTGTAATTTGCTGGTCTGGTATGAACTGGTCAGGTCTGATCTGGTCTGGTTTCAGAGTTCAGATCAGACCAAACTTGGATAGTTATAAAAATACAAAGAAACCCCGAAGGCCAAGGCTTACGGATAAGACGTGTACGGTGAAGCACCCCTCGGGAGCTTGGGAGAGTAAATTGTTGGGGCCCGGTTCCACCACCGTCGCCGAGGGTCCCACGTGCAGCTGAGTGATGTAGCATTCGGTCCGATCAGCCCTCGAGTTTATTGCTAGAGCGGCAGTGTTCAGAAAGTAGTGCTTCCTCGGGTATTCCCACAAGTTTCCCTTGGTCAGCCACACTCTGCTTCTTCCCCGGAGCGGTCCTCTCCTTCTTCTTCTTTCCGGGGCCACAACCAGAGGCTTCGGGTCATTATTGGAGGAGCCCTCGGAAGTTGGCGATCCCTCAATTGTTCAAATGTGCAATCCTCTGACTTGATCGAAGGCTCTCGGGAGATATCTTGTGAATCACTATGAGACGACATCCTTCGAGATTGAAGGAGAAAGAAGTCAAGGGAAGGATTGTCCCAAGGGTATTAACACTAAATCTAAGGGAGGCAGAGCTAAATATACTACTGAAGCGAAGAACAAGAGATGAACTGACCTTGAAAATGAAGTTTGATCGAACTAGCACTTTCTCTCTCTAGAAATATTTGGGCAGAGCTTCGCTAACAACAAAATCGCACAGGAGGAATGGACCCGGCCTTGGGGTTTTTATAGCCTCCCCATTTCAGGCTTGGGCCGTGAACTGGGGTCCCAATTCAAAAAGCCATCATTACAAACAGCCGCCTCAACCAATCGGTGCCACCCGCCCGAAGCAAGCCAACCAGGATATGCCACGTGGACCCCACCTCCAACGGTCACATTCCAACGGTCATATCCCAACGGTTGTTTTTGAAACATTGAGGGACCCTCACCTGGAACCCTTAATACAGTAACAATGTGAGCCTTCGAGCATCACTACACGCCCTCGGATTATCAGGTTCAAAGACCCTCCTGCCACATTTAGCTTTCATCATGAAAGTTGGGATAACCCCTCGGGAGCACTGAGCCCTCGATGCCTAAGGACTTGGGGGAACCTCCTCGGCAATCACAACCCTCATATCAAAGACAGCCCTCGGGGTTTCGGAGCTACTTGAAAGGTTCACCTTTTTACTTCATTATGGGGGTATCCGGTGCACTCTTTTTCCCTCATTGGGATTTTTTCCACAGAGTTTTTCCTAATGAGGTTTTTAACGAGACATCTCCCCTAAATGAAGCAGAAGGCGTCAACCCTCGGCTCTCTTCTGAAGACAGGCATTACTCTACTCCTTCTCACCCCATTGCATGTGCCTCAAGGAGTGGGGGACTGGGAGAACCCCTCGGGGAACTATGAACAAAAATGACATCGACAAATAACACATGTAGCCTCCAAGCAAAATAATAAACACAATCACTTAGGTATGAATGGTCAATACACCCTTCGATAAACACAAATTGTCAAAATATTATAGAAGTACCAAGGATGATGAAGCAGCCTCCGCCACAACACATGCGAGCAACACACTTGCACTCCCTTAAGGGAGCCCTCAACCCTTGACATGTGAAAGCAAGGAATCTGAGGCACCCAACAAAACAGGGAAGCCTTCGGGGCAATCACCACAACTACTCCTTTTCCTTCAAGTACCTTTCGGCAAAAGGAGTGGGGGACTCCTGATGGAGTATATGGCCCAGGGACTCCCGGCCCACAGACTCCTACTTCTCCTGCTCAGGCCCATCAAGCCCAATGAGCACACCAAGCTCAGACGTGGCAGCCCAAGTATCAAGGAGCCCATAAATACACATGTGAGAGTGCCTTCAGCCTCCTTGGCCGAAGGCTCCAAACTCCAGGAAACAGCTGATCTTCTACATACAGAGCTACTGGGAGAAGGCGGCAAAATCAGGAGCCCTCGACTTACAGGGGCCTTCGGCTACATAGAGCTCTCGGCCACAGGGGCGCCCTCGGCTACACCAAAGCCTTCGGCTAAACAGAGCCCTCAGCGTACTGCAGACTCAACGAAGATTCCTTTTAGGGACAAACAACCACCACATTTAATGTGGCGTCACGTCTAACCACCGCATTTAATGCGGTGCACATGTAAATGCCGGTGCCACCCCGATTGAGGTGATCCCCGGCCGTCAGATGTTTGACATGTGTCCTTGTCTAGCATTTATGGCTACTATAAATAGCAACCATTTTCCATTGTAAGAGGACATTCCATATTCGAATACACACACTCTCTCTCTTGCTTATTGCTCTGACTTCTCTCTAGGTTATTCACCGTAGTAACCCCTCGGATAAGCTACCTCCCGGGTACACTATCCATCAGGTACCAGTGCACAATTGTCCCTGGATTCGAATATCGGAGCGCTGCCATGAAATGGGGCAATTCAGAACATGACTTCTCTCAACCTCCAAATATTTCGGCAATGGCCTTTTGTTTGCCCATCCATGTACGTCTGTACGAAACTGTATAACCATACTTTTCCTTCAGCAACTCAATAATAGTATGGACTTTCAGGGATGGGTCAGTGCGAATAAGGTCAATAATATCTCGGGAGATAAAATCTGAAGTAATCGCCACATGATCATTGTCGTCAGTGTTTCCAACATAGGTAGCAGAATGGGGTCCTGGATAACGCACAACTGTGAACATGTCAAGACTGGCATGTTTCTTTGTGGCTCGTATTCTCCATGTGCAATCACATTCCTTCTTTCTCTTGCACTCTGCAACCCATTTATGTATGTCTGACTCTAGCACACGATAAAATTGGTTGCGTTTGATATAATACAAGCTCACCATATTGATGAGTTGTTCTTTATTGTCAAACTGCTGACCAACCTCAAACTCAGCATCTTCTGTAAACCTTTTCACACCCGTTCCACTCTTCAATGCATCATAAAACCCACATGGGAGATCATACAATCTAGTATAGTGGCTAGATGGAGCAGTTGCGGTCACAATATCACCATCATCTTCATCTGATTCTGCCATTGCATCATATTGATGCATTCATCAGCATCATCATCCGTTTCATGGCCATCCAAAAAGGATGCATCATTGTGCAAATACCGTCCATCCTCCTCTACAACCATGTCCAAAACAACATCATTTGAGGAGGCCGCAACATTAAGACCATGCCCAGATACAACATCATTTGATGTTGATGGAGTTACAGAAGCATCACGGTGAGAATCTAAAATGTATATCTCCATTGTGGACATAGTCATCATTTGAACTATCGTCCACAATGCCGTGACATCTTCCTCATCATCAAGTGGCATAAGCATGTATGATCCCCCGTGAAGGGAATATTTCTGCACTTGCAAAGAATGGCTCAGAGGTATCTGTGTAGCAGCATATAATTTTTGCACCATCTCACGCATACATGCGCCACGAGAAACAACAAACATCCATCTCCTACCACCTTAAGAGCGTATACTCCTTGCTTCCTCGAACAATTTCCCTCCCCAATGACACACAATGGGGAAGTTGGAGAAATCCATATTCTAATAACAATATATGACGATAATGGATGAATACACATTAATATACACACTTTATACACCTAAATTCAACAATCCATAGACATAAAACATATTTAAAAACTCTCATATTTAAGAAAATCATATTACATATACAACACTTAAAAATCAAAATAATAAGTTTTTCACCTAAAAAAAATCAAAATATCACATTAAAATTCACATCACACAAGAAATGCACAACAACATCAAAAAATTACAATTAATTCAAGATTAAAATTCAACATTTCATACATATTCATATTTCACAACAAAATAAATTCACAAATCAATTCCTAATTTACAAATTAATTTACAAATTTGAAAATTATCACTTTAAACCCTAAGTTGAAAATTGAGATGAAATTGGGGATTTGATGTATCTAGAGGTTGAAGAAGATGGTTGGGAGTGTATTTGATAGGTGGAATGGCCTCCTAGTTGCTGTGGTCGCCGGAGTGGGTTGCTGCAGTTGTCTTCGCCGAAGCTCTTTTGCCTCAATCTTTCGTTCGATCTGTCTTCGAATGGTCTGCGCAGCAGTTTATTAAAGTGAAAGTCGTCAAATGGTTTGACGACTTATAGGTCGTCATCTTGGTATAAGTCACCAAACCGTTTGGCGACTTTCGCTAACCCGCGTAAATACTTTATCCAACATTATTTTGGTAAATACATAATTAATTTGCATTAATCTGGAAAAAACTCTAAAATTGGACTGAATACCAATGTTTCAGAGCATTATTTGGAATTAGGGAGAAGTATCAAATAAACTCTCGAACTTTCATAAAAAGGGTAAATAAGCCCTTTTAGATGATGCTTTGTCCGGCTGTCGCTATTTGGGGTGGTTTCCGGTGGAATTTTTTGATGAAATGTTTTGAGCATCTTCTTCATTAAGTCTTGTTTACCTATACCAAATTTAAGCTAAAAATTCAATCGAGAAGACAATCAAATGATTTTTTGAAATATACTGCGCTGTCTAATTGCGCAGTTATCTTCAAAAATTCATTAAACCGTCTTTCAGATTGAATTTTTATCTTAAATATGATATGAGTATATTTA